GAGATATTTTCAGTTTTAATTTTCCATTCAACTTTATTCCTTGATAATTTGTAGGAAAGAGAGAACAAAATTTGAAAGTATTGTCTAGTAAATTATAATTAGGTCTTACAAGTAGATGCCCAGTACTCATTTCCATGTAGCTGATGGCTCAGACCCACTGACAGCATTGTTTAATTGACCCAAATTATAATTTTTGAATTGACCCAAAGCTTCTGATAAATACTACTTTTCAGGTAAATGCAGCTTGCTTCAGGTTGTCAAACACAACTTTAGAATGATATATTCATGAAGGTTTTCTCCAGGTAAAATGTGTATTCTATTAGTCTAAGGAAAAGATCATTATCAGGAGGGTCTGATATCTAGTTTTGATAGTGATATAAATACTTTACATATTAAAATGTTTTTTAATGTCTCTGACTTCTGAAATGTGATGGATACTTAATTTAAAAAATATCCTTTTCTACAGTACATTTGGGTCAATTTTCTAAAAACCTAAATCAAAGCAGAAGAGTGTTATCTCTTTAAGGCAGAATAAAAGTGAATGTCAAAGTTTCAAGATATTTAGTTCCATTATGGAAGTCACAGCCATCAAAGCTGAATAGCTGTCCTATATTCTTCTATATTTTAAGCACTTAATTCTGTTGTAATGTAGGGGAGTTGAATAATTTAATTTTATGGGCAGGAGTACAGATTGCAGACAAGGTATTTGCTTTTCCATAATATTAGTGATATTTGTAGTGCACTGCAAATAAGTTTTCCATCAGTGTAGGGTTATGGGTTGTGTATTAAAAGACCAAATGTCATGTATTGATAAATTACAATAAAAATAAATATACAGTAATTGGTAGGAAAAAATAAGTTTCATATTCTGTATCTGAAAAAAAACCTCATTTATAGAATGTGCCTGACAAAGATTTTTGCAGAGTTTTTAAACCATAATAGAGATTTTATTTTATGGTTGTTTCAAACAAGTAGCAATCACAATGGCCTGGAGGATTTTTCAGAATAGGTGTGATAACCTTTTCAGAAAATGTGGTAATCCTTCTGACAAGAGATATATAATGCTTAGTTCAGCTGGCAGCTGGAGGGTGCATATCACACCCTTAAAGTTCACTTAGCTTTCAAAGTTCCAGGGAAGTCCTGGAAGGGCAGGAGTAGTCATTTTCCATGGTGGATCCAGCTGGGGGTACTTGATGAAAGGGTTTTATTAAGGCATCTTTAAGGTAGTTTATGGTGAGAAATGGATTAGACTGCTCATGAAGGTGAGTGAGAATTAGCTAGTGATCTAAAAATAGCAGCAGATTTTTAATAGTAGGGACAGGCCGTAAGTTTTCATCGGTACTAGTTGCCTCCTACTGTGATTTCATAACTCTGATTTAAAATGTATGGCATTCATTGTACAACTTTGTATATATCAGGTATTTTTAAAGTGAAAAAATTGTTGAATATTAAAAGGAGGCTAATTGTGCTGTGATGATCAGTAGAGAATGACAGACTTTAATACTAAGGGTCTGGTGACTGTGAGGCAGGATGACACAGTCCTCCTGACAGGAGGTTTCTGGCTGATCAGGTACACAGGTACAGTTAATTTATTTCTGATGGACAGGACTACAGCTTCTGGTTAGTTCAGTAACTTCAGTAGTGAAGTAAGCTGACTTCAACAGGAATGAAATTAATTGGAGAGGGGGTTTGATGATGTCAGCCAACATAGGCCAGGAATTCAATTTTTTCTGTTAGGCTGCTTTCTCTGAAGAAAAGCACTATATTTGCAGGTAAGTCCTTTTTCTTGCATGTGCCCTAGTAGCTGCCACACACAGAGCAGCTATGCAAAGCTTTTTCCTTCATAAATGGCTAGAGTAGATTGAGGACCCAGCTGCTCTTCACATTACTGTCAGCCATTGATGGTTTCCTATTTTTATATCTTAAATGAAATAAGGAAAATTACTGTTTTTAGTAAATGTAGCACACGAGGTTAGAGAATGTTTGTACAAGTGGTATAAAAATATAGTACTAAATCAACACATTCTCCTCTCATTAACATAGTTAATGCTAGAAAAAACAGGTGTACTTTTTAGTAAGTCATGTGCCAATTAGTCTGATGATGTATTTCCTTAATAGAAATACATTTTCCTCAGCAATAATTCAACAGTAATGTTTTCACTTGTACGGAAATCTCTTTTATCCCCCTCAGCCTTCCCACCATCATGACATTATAGCCATAATGTCATCAGAAGAGGATTGCATCCATATGAGGACACTGTGACATGGAGTGATATATTTATTTATATGTATATGTAAACACACACACACACATTTTGTGTATGTTTATATAATCTTATGTTTGTAGCTGAACCAGTTCTTACTGTTGTGTTGTTTGTATTGCTGAAGGTACAAGTATGTAGATTTTTAATATTGAAGCATGTGTACACTCAGGCTGCTCCAAGGCACACATGAGATTTGTGAAATCAGAATCTGTATGGCTTTGTGTGTTACACTGTTCATCGTGGAGTTGATCTTATAAACTACATGTTCTAGAATGTTTTAATGCTTTGGAGGATCAAATTGATGCAAACAATGTGGCTCTGAAGACACATGAGCTGTAGATTATACAGACTGAGTATACAGAGTGTGAGTATGAAGACTCTATTTGTACATTTCATGTGTACATGTATTTGTCTCGATCTTGCAATGAGATTCGCAAGGATTAATGTCTATATCTGATGAATGCAGATTTTTCTTATATGGGGGACACAGCTGGGGAGAGGAAGTTATGCACAATTTTGCTACAGCCATGGCAGAAATTTTCAGGGATTGGGTAATTTGCTATTGGAACAACTTATTTTGGGATGTGGCATAATTTTTCATCATCTGAAGTATTTAAGTGAAAAACATTTATCTTCCTTAAATAATTTCTGCATCTAATCTCTGTGGTCTTAATGAATCTTCTATGTCTTTGCAAACTGTCTGCATTTGGGTAGTTCTGTTGTTCTAATTGTCCCTTCCTGTTGGCCATTCTGGTTTTAGCCTTCTGAAACTCTGTTCATGTTACATAAGAATGATTCAAGTTGAGTCCCCAGTAGCAGAATCTGTAGAGATTTTGTAAAATGTACAGAGGTTATAATTTGTGCTAGTACTAACACACCACTGTAACAAGACAGATGGGACATCTTAGCTTCACTGTAAGCAAACAGGCGTCTGCACGATGCTTATAGAACTTGTCATGCTTCACACAAAGAGGTTCATTTTTGCAAGATTGAATTAGTTTTCTCATTTGTAGATGCCATTACAAAACTAAATTACTTTACTATTTACAAGGTAATACTGGGTCCAAATCTTTCAAGCACAGTTTAATAATTCTGTATGGTACCTAAAACAGTACAGGATGCCAGTTTGCCAGTCACCCCACAGGCCTTGCACACTTTGCGCTGACAGTTGTTGTTTTCCCTTGTTGAGCAGAGACTGCATTTCCCTCCTGGCTGTGAAAATAATGTTTTCTCTCCTATCAGATAGACAGAGCCCTTTATACTTTCCTGGGCACCAAGGAGAACCTCTTTCTTGTTCTCCCCTTCACAAAGTTGAAGTGTTTTCTTTCTGCTTCTAGGTCAACTGTGACAAAAACAGGGCTTTGTATTTGCTTGCCTTTTTTCCTGTCCTTCTAAACATTAGGCAGGATCTCCTGGCTGCTGCCTACAAGGCTGCCCTTCAGAATCAGTGATCATTTTGTGAGTGTAGAAAATATTGTAAAAGGGATCTTAATTATAATGGTAGAACTAAATATAAGAAAAAAGACTAACACAAAAATAGCTTCTCATTTGTATTTTTATTACTTAAAGTTGGGGTTGATCTACGTTATTCCAGAGAAGGCCCACCTCTCAGTCTCTTTTATCCACAATCTCTGCTCCAGTTTTCTGCAGGTAACTTCAGATCCATGTAGGGTGAAAAGCCAAGCATGAATCAGGACACATCTGGAATGTAGCATTTTACATGCTTATTAACCTGTAAGGATTGATAAACGCAAGATTTGAAGATCCAGTTTTTTTCCTATTTAACTCATCCCTTCTAGTCATGTAGCAAACAATGTCATGTCAAACAACATTGAAAAAAACCCATAACATTCATTGTATGTTCCATACACACCCTTTATGTAAAATATTACATATAAATTAATCACATACTTGAATCTATCATTTGTCAGTGTCAGGAAAGAAGGCTTCCTCTGAGGCCTCAGTAGCTGCCTATAGCTAGATGGTATAAATGACATAAATGAGTTAATGCTTTATATGGCACAGGAATTCCATTCTGGTATTTGTCTTGCTCAGATGCTTGGACTAATACTGCTACCATCCCTACAGAGATGGGAAGGATTCTTTCTCAACTCAGGCAGCACTTTAAAACTCTTTCCCTTCACAACACAAAACTGTGGTTTGTTTTCTGAGTTCAGGACTTCTGAGTTCATCTGATTTAGAAAAGTGCCACCATTGAATCTTTGTTTTCTGCCCTTGGCACAATTTATAGTTTTGTGGGAACTGACATGTGTGTTTTTGAGCAATAACAGCTGCTAAAAGAGTAAACTAACTGTATGATCCTTCTAGCCCTAATTTCCATGGTGATTATAAAATTCCATTAAACAGAAGTATATGGTCAAGTTTATGTTGCTGTAAAATGATTACAAAGGATTATAAAATTTTGGTACTTGTAAAGCAGTCATGACTACAAAGTAGCCTAAGTATTTGTATTCTTTATTTTATAAAGTCACATTAGCATTTTTCCTTCAAAGCTGTTTTTTATTCAAACTGTGCGCTGTAAGCAGATTTATAGCATGACATCTTTTCTTTAATTTAGTACAGAAAATGTGAGAGCACATTCACAAAAAAATGCAATGGATGGATTTTTTTTCCCTCAGCTGGTCATTTTATCTTTTAACTAGCATTAACTGTATATTTGTGCTGCACAAAATATTGACAGAATTCTCTTTCTGCTTTCTTGCCATGATTATTTAGGAAAAGAAGCCCTTCAATATCAAGAGAACAGAGCAGAAGATACGACCAAAGGGACGAGAGAGACGAATATTCACAGTATGCTACATCAGACAGTGCGATGCCCAGGTCACCATCAGATTATTCAGATAGGCGGTCACAGCGTGGGCCCCAGTTATACGAGGAACCTGAACTGGGTGATTATAGAGATTCCAACAGAAGGAGCCGCAGGCGTTCCAAGGAGTATCCGGTAGAAGAAGAAGATGCACAAAGCAGGGAAGAATATGAGAGGCAAAGGAGGGAAGAGGAATACCAGGCACGGTACCGGAGTGATCCTAATTTGGCTCGTTATCCAGTCAAGCCGCAGCCATATGAGGAGCAGATGCGTATCCACGCTGAAGTGTCCCGAGCGCGGCATGAACGCAGGCATAGCGATGTCTCACTGGCAAATACAGAGCTGGAGGATTCCCGGATGTCCATGCTCAGGATGGAACGGCCGTCAAGACAAAGATCCGTGTCTGAGCGCAGGGCCGCCATGGAAAACCAACGTTCATACTCTATGGAAAGAACTCGAGAGGCTCAGGGACCAAGTCCCAATCGTCAGAGGACCACAAATCATAGCCCTCCTACACCTAGGAGGAGTCCAATTCCTCTGGAAAGACCAGACATGAGGCGCTCTGATTCTTTAAGGAAACAGCATCATTTGGATCCCAGTTCTGCTGTCCGGAAAACAAAACGTGAAAAGATGGAGACCATGTTACGGAATGATTCACTCAGCTCGGACCAGTCTGAATCTGTCAGACCTCCACCACCAAAGCCCCATAAAACGAAAAAAGGAGGTAAAATGCGCCAGGTTTCATTAAGTAGCTCAGAAGAAGAATTGGCATCCACACCAGAATATACAAGTTGTGATGATGTAGAGATTGAAAGTGAAAGTGTTAGTGAAAAAGGTAAGATTTCTAATTTTTTGATTGCTTCACTATATAGATTTGATTTGGTTTCTATTACTTTGTTTTATCTATTTAAATTGGTTGCAACCACACATCTACAGCCCTTCACAGATGACTCAGCTTTGTTGTAATGGGAATTGGGATTTTTTTCTCATTTTCTGTTTCATTTACAGAGTTGAAATGAACTCTTTCCCTTTTATTAATTTATTAAATCATAAATGTAATGATTTACATGGAAAAGAACATCACAGCTCCTACAAGTATTTGGATAAGTTAAAGGAAAAAACATGCCTACTGAAAAACCTATCAATGAAATCTGCAAAATATCTAAAGCTGGGCTATCATATAAGGCCACGGTTTCATGTTCTTTAATACCAGATTTGCGTGCTCCTGGATCACAATGAGTGCATATTTGATCTGGATCAAGTGTGGGCGCATGACCGCGTTTTTGTTGAATTAACTGGAGCACATGATACAGCCCTTATGCCAGTTTCATGCTGTCTGCTGCAGGTTAAAGAATGTCTGATCTGCAAAAAGACCTGTGTCTATAAAGTCAACCCATTTAAGTTTTGAGACAAATTTAAAAATGACTGACGTGGTTTACTCCAATGGAGATTTCTTTTTCTTGTGGTAATAGGATGATTTTTATTTTTAGTGCTTTTTAGAAATAGTTTTGTAGTTACTCCAATGTCAGAAAGAAAACTAAGATTGATTGAAATTACTTCCCAGCCTATAAGAGGATAGTTTCTAATTAAATATGAAAGTATTGGAGACCATGAATTTTAGCTCAATCAAATGAATATTATTAGTTTGCTTACCTTCGTGTATGTTGTTTTAAGCTGTTTTTGTTATTATTCTTATACCAGTGAACCTTTATTACTTCCTCTGAATGCTTATCTGCTGTTGTGGATTGTGAATAGAAAATGTACTACTACTTATTATTATTATTATTGCTATCAAATTGGTTCTGAAGCAAGTAATTAACTTGAGTGAAATAACTGAATTTCCATATCTCAATATCCATAACCATGGTCTGATAAGTAAGTAGTAAGACAGCGTAGAATGAAAGGAAATTTCACCCAGTCAGAGTAGACAGTTGCGTGTACTTATGTGAAACAACTCTGCTGAAACCTTGACCCCCTTACTCTTCCTGATGTGTAAAAAAATTTATACCAACTTTATGGTGTTCCTGATTTTGTTCTTAGAAGCAACCTTGAGGAAAATCGGACCAATCAATACAGAGGAAGTAGTAACAAAATGTTTATTTAAGGCAATTTAGTGTAGGAAATGTAATATAAAAATAATCTAGGCAATATATTTTTTGTACACATAGCACACAACACATATACATTTAGGATTATAAAAGCACAGGTTGGAAAATACCTACAAGATTATTGATTACCATTAATTTAGTACTTCCATTATTTCTAACACATCAATAATCCTTGTATCTGCTGCTGCATGGCTCTCTATCCTCTACCTCCATGGAGACAGCACAATGAAGGACCCCACTAGCAATGTCTCTCAGACACTGGAAGGGTGCTGCCTGGTTTATCTGTAACAAGTCTGGTTTCATGCCTTTTCTCTTCTAGTTTAAAGCTCTCTCTATGAACCCTGCTAATGCCTCAGAAAAATATTTTTCTCCTTTTGAGACAGGTGACCCCCCCCCACCCCCCAATTTGTTATCAGCAGGCCTGGTGCCATATAAACTGTAAACATGATCAAAATCCTACAAAATTCTGCTGGTGATGCCAGGCTCAGAGTCAAATATTGATCTGCTGGATCTCCCTCTCTTCCCTCCTCATTTCCAGCAACTGAGAGAATAGAGAAGTCCACTTGTACTCCTGATTCCTTAACCTGTCATCCTAAAGCCCTGATGTCTCTCTTTGATTGCCCTTGGACTTCGTATTGTCACTTTTCTGCCCACCTGAAAAGTCCATGACAGCTGAGGGCCTTTCCAGGATAGGAACCTTTCCCTTCACAGCTGGGTCTCAGGGATGCACCAGACTTTGACAAGAAGTAGGTCTGGTCTACATATTGGGCCTTCTGCTGCTTTCAGATGGGAGTTTAAAAAATGCTGTACAATTCTAGGCTCTCTGTCATAATAATGATCTTATAAAACTTACAGCTTTCACTTAAATAATTTTACATTTTAAGTGTCAAAGAAAACATTCTTATTGATAACAATAGTTAATAATAATGACAATGTCATGTCTGTACTGATTTCTGAGGGAGTGAATGAAGCTAAATATATGTTATACAAATTAATTTTAAAAGCTTGCAAAGGTTTTGCAGGGGAAAAAAAAAGCTCCCTACTATGCTTTATTGATCTTGATTGAATTAGCGTAAGTGCTTTGTCATGACATACAAGGTGTAACTGTGTCCAAGTGGCCTAGTGGTGGCCTGCAGCTGGAACCGATGTGGAGAACAACTTTGGTTTTTCATAAAGGAGAAGAGGAGCTGCTTGAGCTGGGGAAGGATGTGGCTGATTTGACTGTGTCTGCTCCCAGCCTGTGCTGGGGGTCCTGGGCTGGGGGAAGTGACCATGAATAGCACAGGAAGTTATTCCAGCAGTAACTCCAGTACCTGGAGCCAGAGCCAGCTGTGCCAGGCTCAGCAACATATGTCACATAATCGAATAATATCCTCAGACCCTCCTACTTCTCCCCTGATTTTTAACCACTGGAGTGGCATTTTATACAAAGAGGGACTGGGACTCCCTGAGCAAGGAACGTGGACCTGGGAGCATTGACATGAAGGGCTTGGATGGTGTTTGGTGGGATGCAATGTGCTAAGGCCATGGTCAGGAGTTGACACTGCCAGGTGAGTTCATTCTTTAGAAGCTCAGGAAGCAGTGCATGAGAACAGTGTTAAATGGACATAGCTGAGATTACAAGTGCGTTTACCTGAAACTTAGGTTGTGCCAGAATTAGACATATTTTTCAGAGTGAATTTTATGCAGGTCTTCACAGACATTGGATCTCTCTTTAGTGACATAACCGAGCACCAGTTTAACAGATGGCCTCTGCCTTTTTCTGTGAATAGGATGAACAATTCTTTCTTATTGTGTTATTAAAATTTTTCTGAAACTCATGATATTTTTTCCACATTATGTAAGACACCCATCTTCACTCTTGCTGTGAATACCAGGCTGCTGTAACTGCAAAGATGTCTCAATTTATAACACTTATTGCCAGTCCTGAGATCAGTGTAGCACACAGTTCAAAGCTATGTCTCCATGACAGGACCTACTGCCTGTCTTAGGAAATACACCTTGAACAGGAAAAAAAAGAAGTTGCCTATATGTTTTGGACCAAAATATTTGGTATATTGCTATTTTCCCTAATAATGAAAGATCAAAATTATTTAAAATGTTAGAGAAAAACAGTTCTTGAAATGCCAATGGTTTTATGAGATTGTAAATTTTAAATGGCTGTTAAATAATTCCTCTATCACTAAACCCAGGGATTATAATTATTTTATTATTATAAAAAATGACATTATAAATGTTCTAGACTGTTCAAATCACCAATTCTTTCTCAAAACCATCTCAGTTTACATGTTGCAGTTTTGAGGCTCTGAGAAATGTGGCTTATAAAAAGAGAACAGTTGTGATGGTATTGTAGCGGAGTCAACTATGTCACCTACAGAGGTCCAAATAAAGCTGTGTTTTGTGGTGTGCAAGTTAGGCCAACCTTTCTACACTGATTGTCCAATTTAAGTATCTTCTATTGTGAGGGACAGTTAGAGTACTTTTTTACCTTCATGTTCAGTTAGATATTTCTCAGTGCAATTCTAAGGAGTAGACCTTAAGGGAATGTTTGAAAGGGCTCCTATAATTTGTTACCCAGCATGGAGCAGATGTGAAGCAGAGTGCTACTGGCTATATCTGCGTGTCCAGAGGCTTTACAGATAAATTTACAAAATCAAACAGCCCTTGTGTTCCTTATGACAATACTGTCACACCTGCAGTCTGCTGAAGGACCAATCTGAAGAGACTCAGGAAAGCTTGTCATCCCTGGGGTTGTTTTACCCCCACTCAGAACACGGGCATGAGAGAGGCGACCTGGCCTGAAGCTGGGGTGAAGCTGTCCCTTCTCCAAACACTTGAGGGTCTTAAAAACAAATCTTTACAAATCTCTCAAGGTCTAGGGATTCAGCAAGAGACAATCTCTGCACGGAAGAAGATAATTCATTCAAAGAAATCTAGGTGTGCGGTAGTTCTAAATATTGCCCTAATTTATTCTAAATATAAAGTAGGACATAGTAGATTCTCCAATGATGGTAAACAGTTCAGGCACATGTGCGTACCACGCTCCCAGAACTTTTCAGAGCACCCTGTGAGAGGTATCTGTTTGCACAAATGGTGGCTGACATCTAATGTGGGTGGAATCTGTGGTGGGAAAGCCAAATGTGTTTGTGTTTTGTCAGTTCTTAAATTTAGTGTTTGCTTTCACTCTTAATTTATTAAAACATGATAGATAGTTAGTTTTATTATCAAAGAAACTCATATGCGTAGAAAGATAGGAACCTTTAGATTGGAAGAGATCTTTGGGATAAAGTCCTACTGTTAACTTAAGAATGACAATTTCACCACTAAACCAGTGTCAAATCCATGCCTTTTAAATGCCTCCAGGAGTGGTGAATCAACTAGACCCCCGGGCAACCTGTTCCTGTTCTAGTGTTTGATAACCCTTTCGGTGAAGAATTTTTTTCCTTATATCCAGTCTAAATTTACCCTGCCACCACGAGGCCATTTCCTCTCCTTTCTGTTGCTTCTTACTTTGGAGAAGAGTCCCACACCCATGTGGCTATGACTCCTCTTGGGTAGAGTGTGATAAGGTCCCCCCGGAGCCTCCTTTTCTCCAGGCTAAACACCCCCAGCTCTCTCAGCCACTTATCATAGGACACCATGAGGCCATTTCCTCTCCTTTGGAGAAGAGTCCCACACCCACGTGGCTATGACTCCTGTCAGGTAGTTGTAGAGTGTGATAAGGTCC